AGTCTGGGAAATAAGCAAAACACATCCAATCGACTAACTTCAACTCACTCAACGAACAAGCAAGCAAATATAAAATCGCAACAAAAATATCAGAAAAAAAATAAAAATTATACATACACGCAAGAGGCAAATCCGACAAAACAAATAAATATGTAATGATGAAAGGCAAAGAAGCCAGCACAGAAGAAGAACCAGATACTTTTCAGCCAGATAACTAATTTATATTCATCCCGGTTCATCCAACAACACACACAACAACAAAAACACACAACAACAAAACATCAACAACATCCCATTCAACATCACACACATCATCACAACCAACAACAACCCACAAAACGCAACAACACAAACAAGACAACACCAACAAAACAACAACAAACACAACATAGCAACAATAACGATCTACACAATCTCAATAACGTCACACAAAATATGTTGTTGGCGAGAACATGCCTAATAATATGTAACAGCGTACTCCTTTGATGAAAAATATTAGCCAAAAATGAAAAACGTACGACAAAATGTTGCAAACTTACAAACAACTTGTGGCTGTTGATGTTGTGTTGTTGTTTCATGTTGTTGTGTTGTTGTTGTTTCATGTTGTTGTGTTGTTGATGATGTGTTGTTGTTTTTTGTCGTTGTTGTACATTATGTTAACGTGATGATGTTATTATGATCATTATTCTTGTTGTTTTTAGGTATGTGGTTTTGTCGTAAGGTCGTTGCTAAAGAAGATGTTATAGTTTGTTGTTATGTTGTTGTTGTTGTGTTGTTGTATTGACTATTGTTGTTGTTGTTGTTGTCGTTGTTGTTGTTGAGTTCTTGTTGTTGTTGTTGTTGTTGTGTTGTTGTTGTTGTTGGGTTATAATTTTTTACGTGACTCTTAATCAGGTTTCAAATCGCATTACGAGATTTTTCCGTTCTGTTTTTTCCTGTTGATGTATAAGTCTCGGGAAGCAATTGATGAAAATACATTGGAGGGGATGGGTATTTTTAGAAGGAAGAAGTTATTAGAGAGAAAATGATGACGATGCCATGCCTGCATTGTTTGCATTTATATTGCGTGTCCGCCAGCGAAAACTAGGGAAAAAATGATGCTCAAGTTGCATCAATAGTAGACGCGGTCAGTCGTGTGCCACTATCTTCCTCCGAACTCATGTACAGAATCGTTAATTGAAGCTTTTTTATTTTTTGCTTTAGCAAGCTGAAAAGTTTTAAAAAATTGTCACGAAAGAAACAAAGAAGCAATTAAATAAATAAAGAAGCAATTAAATAAATAATAAATAAATTAATTGATTGATGAACAAATAAATAAAAAAGTTATTTAATATATTAATTAATTGGATGGAAGTTAAAACAAGTTTGCCACATAAAAACTAGCCTAAATCGCCTCCAACGTCAAACAAATGAATGCAATGAAAAAGATAATAATTATTTTTAATGGAAATAAACCAGCAGAAATTAATTATGGGAGGAGAGGCTCGCCTAGAACGTACAGACATCATTACACTACATCATCGTAAACATTCGGCGTTGTATATATATATACAAAAGCATAAACATACAATACAAACATGCCACATAAACATGCAGTACAAACACACAACATAAACATTCAACAACTTAAACATATAACCTCGTAAACATACAACAACACAAAACAACTTGAACATAAAGCACCATATACATCAACAGAGTTTATAAAAAATGAACAACACAGACAACAAATTAAATTATTTTTTAAACACAACGTAATAAATAAGTTGCATCATAAACATTATGACATTAGAAACGTAAAATACTTTTTTTTGTTTGCTACGCACCTGTCTCACCGACTGCACATTGGTTTTTCTTTTTTTTTCTTGGGTTTTTAGGTTTTTTAGGTTTTTATAGGTTATTTTAAAATTTATAGGTGTTTTAGAAGTTATCAAATGATCAAAAAAATTTACATCCCCTGCTTCACAAAGCGTAATTGAAAAATTTGTATTGCTATTTTAACAAAGCTAATGGTAAAAAAGAACATTTTAAAAAGTTATTTAAAAAAATTCTTCTGAAAAATTGTCAGATTTCAATTATCAATTTCCACGTATTTATTTTCAGCTTCAGAGCATCCACTCATCACCAGTTGATTGAAACGACATTCTCAAATTTAATATAAAGTACTAAAAAAGAAAAATTGTTCTGTAAAAAACTATCACTGTCAAACTGTCATTTTTCAATAATCAAAATTAGATAAAAAAAAACTATTATCTATAAAGTTTTTTTTTATATTTAAAAAAACCTAAAAAAAACCTAAAATTTCAACATTTAAAAAAATTTAGGTCTTTTTAAAAAACCTAAAAAGCCTAAACGCCTAGGTGTTTTAAAAATTGGTTTTACAGCTCTGATTAACCTCGACAAAGAGAAGAAAATGCCTCAGATACACGCACATGCACATTAATCCAGGTAGCTCCTACATTATTTAAACACAATCACCATAAACACTGCACATGAATTACGTTGTGCATACACGCAAGCAGAGATTGTTTGCGTCATGAATTACAGGAACCTACATCAACATGATTCGAAAATTTAAACCAACGTGTCAGCCTGTTAACAATTAATAGCCTGTAAATTATTAATGCGTTCGAATTTATTATGTTATAATTATTATTAAATTTTTAATTTTAATTACGTCAATGTTTATTATATTATAATTTTAATTAAAGTTATAATAATTTTTGATTAGCAATTGATAATAGTTATAATGGTGTATAAATAATGGAAAATAATTCCAAATCGTTTTGACGAATTCACTATTTAGATGGGATGAGAAATTATTCTTCATTTGTGCTATTGAAGTTGAAAGGTTAATAACAAACAGCGTATGAACATACATCACACACAAACACACACCACACACACCACACATAAACACACACCACACAAAAACACACACCACACGCAAACACACACCACACATAAACACACACCACACACAAACAAACACCACGTATTTCAGTTTTTGTGCGAAAAGCCATAGTGCACACTTGTATACCCGCTACGAGTTTCTCGTTGCTGAGACGTGACTCAGTTTGTCTACGAGATATGTCTGTACGCGGTAGATCAATTCTGGTCTACGAGCCTGTTGCAAAAGCGAAAATCTGATGTCTGAAGTTTTATATACAATTGGTTTCTAAACTTTTTTTACTTTTTTTTTGGGCTAGATTTTTTATTTTTTTTAATTTTAAATAATTTTATTTCTGTATTTAATATTTTAAATACAAATCAATATTTTTAAGAAGTTTTAGTTTTTTGAAGTTATTCAAAAAATTATTTAAATTTGTTATTAAAATACAAAACTTTTTGGAAACCGGTTTTTTGGAATTTAACACCATTTATGGTTTATGTCGATGTTAATTTATTTTTATTTTTTCATAATTGAAATTTACTTTAAAAATGTAATTAAATTTTTAAATTTACTTAAATTTTTAAATGGAAAAGTTAAACTTTTTAAACAGTTTTCAGAAATGTTATTATATTTTATTACACTTTCTGCTGTACTGTGCGGCAGAAACGGCTATAAGTTGTTGTGTGGAAGCTAGATGAAACAAAGAAGAGCGTCTCATGACGGACTGTATCGTTGCTAAACGGTTCATGAACAAGTTGCGCAACATGTCTGTCTACTAGAAGGTAGGGTCTAGAATAAACAATGCGTTTAACAACTAACAACCAAGCTACTGAGTCGCAATGCAGTATGAATCATTGAAAATAAAATTCAAAAACATGTCTATGAACAGTGAACACGTGCAAAAAATAAATTTCACAAATGATGCACGTACGTCTTGAAAGCTTCTGAAACATTCGTTGTAGTCCTCGCCATTGTTCCATTGTCCGTTGGTGCCACAGTATTTGTAGATGGTGCCTGGTTGGTTGGTTGTTAGTTGATTGATGGATTGATTGATTGATCGGTTGGTTGGATGGATAGTTGGTTGGTTGGTTTGTTGGTTAGTTGGTTGTTTGGTTGTTTGGTTTTTTAGTTGGTTGGTTGGAAGGTCGGTTGGTTGCTTAGTTGGTTGAATGATTGGTTGTTTGGTTAGTTGTTTGGTTTGTTGGTTGATTGGTTGGTGGGTTGTTCAGTCGGTCGGTTAAGGTTAATTGGTTGATTGATTGGTTGAAATTGTTGCAAAAAAATTTTTTATTTATTGAATGCTTCAACATTTAAATTGCTTATTATTGTTAGAAATTTTTGAGATGATTTTTGATGAACAATGAACAAATAAATGGATCGATGGATGGATGGTCGGATGAATAAATTGGCTGATTGATAGACAAACGGATGAATGGACGGATACGGATGGATGAAAAGATTGATGAATGGAAAGAATGTTTTATTGTTGGATGTGGTTAAAATAAGATGCAAAAGTTTACGTGAACAACTTGAATGGGAGATTAGTTTTACAGATAAAAAAATATTAAAATAAACGTAGAAGCAGATTAATGAATAAATTTTTTGTTGGAGTCAGAGTTTTTAATTTCATTTAATGAAATATTTCAATTGAGAAGCATTGAATTATTCCAAACAATAGATTACCATTTTTAATTAAATTTCAAACTTTTGACCAACTAAGCTCTTTGTGAATTTAATTAAATTTTAAGCTAAAATAAATTGAGAATAATTGGTCGTTTCATAACAATATGCAGATTGGACATCTCAGTGTGCATTCGATCCGCCAAGCAACCTGCAACCACGCGGGAACGCATCGCTCATGGCTGCAATTAAATTTTCTCAAAAACAAACCATCAATAAAATAATTAAAAAAAAATTAAATTAAATAATAAAATAATTTTAAATAAAATAAAATGGCTTGATGAACTGGCAAAAACTTTACTTTAAAAAAATCTTTCGTTTAATGATAATTTTATAATTCATACAATCCTCGTCCAATATTGGTCAACCTTTGATCCAGTGACGTGAGTGGTTTAAAGGTCAGCCCGGCCCACCAGCCCAACGGACTATGTACAAACCAACGTGTAACATTCAGAAACTGCCAATTGTTCGATTATACAGCTCTGTAGTCCAGTTGATTTCCAAATGGCAGCCACCACGAGTGATGAAGCGTAGCAGTCACATGGTTGGTGGGCGACGCTTAACAATTATCTGCACAAGTTTGGAAAGGTGCGAGATACATTTCATTCCAGACATGGAATCGAAGGAATCGAACGCACATTAAAAGTTGTGCTTCGCACCATTCACCCATGCAATAAAATCGTTGCGAGTCCACGGATAAAATTTTTTCTTCCACTTAAACAAGTTTTTTTTATGAAAAAGCTTTTTCAATTTGTTGATATCTTTTGGGAAGGTGACAGATTGAGATGAAGAACACGGTTGACGATTAAAATCGAAACTTAATTCATTGAAATGCTCAGAAACATGATAGGAAGACATGGACAGCGCATTAGCAATGAACAGCTTGCAAAGTTTGGAAACGAAACCTGCATAACCACAACTGGAAAAGGTTAACAAGTTGTGGGGCGTCCACGCGATTTTGTACAAATTTGTGAAATCAGAAAAAGTTTGAATGATTTGAAAAATGACGCTATTCAGTAACGCACCTACATATGCCATATGCACATGCAATATATATTATGTGTGCGTGTGCGTGCGTGCGTGTGTGTGTGTGTGTGTGTGTGTGTGTGTGTGTGTGTGTGTGGTATACGTTTATGAAACAAAACAAAAACATTATCGTTATTATAATACTCGACAAAAAACGAGATTATTTGATGGACGGAACGAAAAAATAGGACAACAAGGAATTAATTGAATGCCAAATTAGAAAACGCAACAGCAATTACATTAATTTGATTTAAAATAAATTGCATAATAACTTCCTGTGCAAACAATTCTACAACACAACACGGATAACATAGCGCAACAATACAACAGAAATAACATATCACAACAACACGACACCGATAAAACAACACAACACAACAATACAACACAGATAATATATCATATCACTACAGCACAGATATTTTAATGCATGAAACAGATAATATAACACAGACGACATAACACAACGACACAACGAACATAACACAACGACACTCTGGTATGATAGGCATTTGGACGGGCTGCTAAAGACGAAACACGTGTCCAGTCTGTCCAAACCAACAAAATGTCGACCAACGAATCCACAAAGCTCTATTGTATCTAGGCAGAAGAACTTACGTGAAAATCTGTCATACATATTTACAATGCAATATAACATTAGTGAAGGTCAGTGAAATGTGCGCCGTCATTGCTACAAAAAAATTGTTTCCACCTCACAACAGTTGGTACACGTAAGAGCAGGTACAACGTCAGAAATCAGAACGTAACCACGTGATAGAAAGCTCTAGACCAGACAGCATTTGAACCAGGTGGCCAGGTTTTTAGTTTTTATTAATGCAGCTCTGACATACGAAGAATCATTTACAATGTTACACATATATTATCTATATATCTCTTTTATTATGTTCTTCATATCTTCATCCATTAATTTGAAGCAGCCATCTTCGCCACAAAGGCTGTTTATCCTTTTCATACGACGTACACATGTATTTATGTGCACGCGCAAGCACCGCATCATATACGCTGAGTATATGATAGACATTGAGCTGTTTGACTCAGTGAGCATTCGAACGACTGAGCCATCTCGCCGACCAACATGCGACAACTTACGTCGTCTACCCATTTACCAGCCTCGAAAGGACGGACGGCTGTCGAGCAAGTTGTTTCAAAACCGATCTGCCCATTTCATATCAGTTACAGATAAATTTAAAGAATTGTAAAAACCAATGAAAGACAATCTTAAATGGATAACTAAAACATTGAAACCTTCAAAACTGCACACCAGATTTGTTTACATTGTTTGTAAATTTATTTGTTTTATAGAGTTTGTTGAAGGCCAGTTCACGAATTTTAACACTTTTGTTGTCGGCAACAGTAGGACCAGCAATTAGAACAAAAGAGGCACTGGATGTGCCAAACTCACCCAGCTGCAACATCCGACTTTGCACATGTCCCGATTTGGGCAATAATCAGTTTGAAAATTTTGCCTTGGCGATCAGTACTGAGGTTGTAGCAAAATTAAAAAAAAACTTGTTTATTTTATTGCCTAAAAATTTTGCCTGTTAAAGCGCACACAGCGGTGATGGAATCATGCTAGGGTTATGGTCAAGTAACAACAAAGGAGGTATCGATGTAGATGGTGATGGCAGCAGTGACATGATGGCATGCATAATTGATGAAATAAAATCCTCTAAAAACGTGAGAGTATGATTGATGGTAGATGTCGGCAGCCTGTCTCCTCGTGAAATGTTTCATCGTGCCATGCATCATCAGCACAAGCACTCATCCAACATCGATACAAAACAAAAAAAACTTTGCCGTCGAACGATACAACAAACATCTGATATTTCTGGCAGTTATTCTAGCAAACAATTCATTCAACTTTCAGTTTCAGTTTTGGTAATGAGTTATCTCATTATTATCTGATTATCTTCTTTATTTTTCTTTATCTTTCAATTTTTTATTTTTTTTTATATTTCAGTTGTTATACAGAAATAATTTACACTTTCCGTGTCGTTCGGGCAGTCAAGAAAAAACTTTAAAGCTGAAACATCTCGCAATGAAATGAAAAATTCAAGTAGGGTTGAAATTAAATTTTTAACAAATTTTATATATATTTTTGAAAACTTTTAAAATTTTCAAACCCCACAGCAAGCAGTAAACATGGTTGATTATTTTTATTAAAAAACTGGCTGCCGTAAAATTATTGTCGACAACTTGTTACAATACAAGCTCTTCCCACAAAAACTCAGCTGCACCGCTGCACGGTCCAGTTGATTTCGGTTCGTGTGTTCATGCCAGGAAAGGAGCATCTCTCTCTGATCGTCTGCAGGATTTGTTCGAACAAATAATCAGAAATGTGAGGTCTGCGTGTGCCGTGCAACCTTCGTGTAATGGGGTGTGTATCTGTGAAAGGAAGTATCTGCTGAGTAACTCGTAAGAATCAAATTATTTAAATGGTTTTTCGACAAATTTTCAACATAGCCGTTGTCTTTGAGAATGTTGTTGTTAACTTTTAAAATGGTGATATTTGTTTCGGCGCCCAAATGATGAGAAAATTTATTTAAATATGAAAAAATATTTAGAGAGATGCCAGCAAATTCATTAGAAACATTGATTAATGATCAGCATGAAGAGCATTGATGCTTCAGTTGGCCCTCCTGCGTTCTCTCTCACGCACCAGTGAACATGTCCGCTGCACTTCCGCCGTAAGTAAATGAACGCAACAAATGTGACAGCTCGTAATGAGTCGTTAGATCATCGTCCTCATCAACCTCATCGCCATCATCATCATTTTCTTTTTCATTTTTATCATCATCATCTTACAGCCATCATCATCATTTTCTTCTTCATTATCGATCTTATCACCATCATGCTTTTTTTCATTTTTTTAATTATTCATTAACAGACAAACACATGTTGCAGTTTAGCAGCATGTCCATCATCATTCTCATCATTATCATCGTTATTATCACTAAAATTTCAACTCATCCAAACAATGTTGGTTTTTCAATTTCTAATTGAACAAAGCTTTGTAAGCAATGAAACGCTTTCAAGCATCTATAAAAATTTTCACGACGAACAAGGATAACAACCACCATCATCATTGCAACAATCATCATCGTCATCATCAACAACAACAGCCATCATCGTCATCATCAAAACAATCATCACCACAACAACCATCACCATCATCATCTTTCTGAATCCTCGTCACTGTCATTACGTAATTCCAATGTTGCAACTGCACAATGACGTCATTATCCCCCACACGCACCATCCATCCATCCGTTATCGTCAACCCCACCATAGACATAAATGTCATCAAAATCTTATTTATCATTATTATTATCACCATCTTTATCATCCTTCTCATCATTTTTCCCATCATCATCCTCCCCATCATCAAAAATTATCATAATTCATTTATTGAAAATGTCGCACAACTCTCTAATTAAAACTGTGACTTAGTTGTTGCTTCTTATTGAAATCAAGTTTTTTCATTTTGGTTTTTCATTTTGTTATTTTATAGACAGAAATTTATTTTGTAGAAAAGAATCATTGATGAATTTGCTTGTTTGCTGCGAATTAATCAATCAATCAAATCAGTCAGTCAGTCAGTCAGTCAGTCAGTCAGTCAGTCAGTCAGTCAGTCAGTCAGTCAGTCAGTCAGTCAGTCAGTCAGTCAGTCAGTCAGTCAGTCAGTCAGTCAGTCAGTCAGTCAGTCAGTCAGTCAGTCAGTCAGTCAGTCAGTCAGTCAGTCAGTCAGTCAGTCAGTCAGTCAGTCAGTCAGTCAGTCAGTCAGTCAGTCAGTCAGTCAGTCAGTCAGTCAGTTAATGAGTTGACGGCAATGTAAGTCATACTTGAGGTATTTCATATAAACGCTGAATAAAAAAAATTATGATTTTTTAAAAATTTGAATTAACTTTTGTATGAAAACAATTGTTTTTCCTGCGTGCCACATTATGATGAGCAGCAACACAAGCCACAACGTAGAAACGCACGACCGTTGTTCGACTGCAAAGAGATTTTTTCAAATAGGTTCCGTTTAGTTTTGCTACCTACCTACCTACCTACTTACCTACCTACCTACCTACCTACCTACCTACCTACCTACCTACCTACCTACCTACCTATCTACTTACCTACCTACCTACCTAACTACCTACCTACCTAACTACCTACCTACCTACCTACATACCTACCTATCTGCCTACCTACCTACATACCTACCTACCTACCTACCT